AAAAAAAGGAAAAAAAAAAAAAAAAAAAAAAAGACTATCTGCCGTCACGGTGCCGTCCTTCTCTCCTTCCCAGTTCTGCCATCAGGTCCCTGATCGCGATAATACACGCGCGCACAAAAGGGAAAAAAAAAGAAAGTACCAGTGCGTGGCTAAACAAAAGACAGGGTCAGGATCATTCTATACGGAGTCGCAGACAGCTCAAAGTCCCGCAAGTGAGGGTATGAGAAAAAGGAGGACAGGTTTGGGGACGCTACCGTCTTCGCCCGAATCAAACACCCGGTCATTATCGATGGATCTGGTCTGGAAGTTGATGCAAATACATCTATGTTAACCCGATGTTCCATTCTGTTGAAGATGGTGGAGATTAAAGGATATGTATGGTTTGGAAAGGAGCCAAACGATTCAGCAGAGGGACAGTCACAGTCGGGATTGGGGACACGCTAACAGCTCAAGGTTTGGCGAGTCGGGAACAGAAAAAGAAGGACAGTGGTCGGCAAAAAGATTCTGGGGACTGCGGTGATTAAAGGATGGCTTACAAAAGTTTAGAAATGAGCCAAGTTGGTTGTCCTTAGCTCATTTAGAAACGATAATGATGATGAAATGATGTCGTTCAGCTCTTCCTCCTCCTCCTCCTCCTCCTCCTCCTCCTCCTCATCATCATCATCATCATCATCATCATCATCATCATCATCATCTCAGCTGAGAGACAACCACAGCGGAATCGGGTAGGACAGTCAAGCACCCACGAGCAGCTCGTGTGGTGTCCATTATTATTACTATTTTTACTATTTTATTATATCTTATCATCCTCATCATTATTATCACGATTATTATTAATCATATTATGATTACTATTATCATTTTTATTATGATTTACCTCGTGCGAGGCTCAAGGCCTCGACGAGCCCTACTGGGCCCTGTTTTCAGCAATATCGGCCGCCCTATGTGCAGGCAGGCCCGACCAAGGACGAGAGGCCTATTTTCGGCTTACCACACAACTGGGAAATTCAGACAGTTGCGCAGCGCCAGTTGGTTGAGAGAACCCAGGCCCTGCCTGCCTTTCTCAAATGTATCTTAGGCAGGCCCTTTCTCAAATGTATCTGAGGCAGGCCCTGGGGTAGACACGGGGCATGGACTGCGCACAGGCCGCTGGCAGTTGGACACGGGTAACCACCCCAGGCCCTGTGTCTGATTCCCCAGGACTGGGGCTCAGCCACTTGGGGCCTACCGGAAGATTCTGGGCGAGGGGCCCAGCACAGCTGGGCAGCACGCAGCAGGCAGGTCATTTCCATATAGGAAAGTGCCTGCCCCCGCATTTGGCATTCGGGCACTTGCTACATGCTGCGCAAGCGCTGCTGCGCTACTGGCAGGCAAGCGCGCACGCGCTCACGGGCGAGCAAGGGATACGCAGGCAGCCATAGCCGAGCTGGCCTGCAAGGTGCTGGATGGGGCGCATGGTGGTTCTTGGGTGCACGTGGCATCTGTGTGGGGGATCGAGGTTGTGAGTGATGGTGGTTCTTGGGTGCACGTGGCACTTGAGAATCTGGGTAAGAAAGAAGGGAAACAAAATGTGAGTGAGGACGAGCCAGGCCCCGCTGGTGCTACACTCATGTTTAGAAAGGCTTAGCACGAACCTGGTCAAAAAATGGTGCTGTATTCATGCTTAGAACGCATGAACCTGGTCAGAAACACTGGTTTGGATCTATGGCTTAGGACAAATATAGCAGCACCAGTGAGGCCTGCCCTCCCTAATACCATCAGCACAGCATAGCTGCTGGCAACGCAAAGCATCCTGCCGTGCACGAGGTGACAAAGATCTGATCCTTCTTTTTCTGTTTTTCTAAACTTTTTTTTTTTTCTGGGGGAAAGATCTGGTCTCGTCATTGAAGGGGAGAGGGGAAATAAAGGACAAAAACAAAATAGTCGACCCAAAAAAGGTTAAGCCCACGGAATGACATACCTGCTCTTCAAGCCCCTTCTCTTTTCTCCATCCGACAAGGTTCCACAGCCAGCTTACAGAGCTGCTCCCACTCTCAGACCTCGCAGGACTCGAGGAACAAGCTGGCCACACATTAGATCTAATATGTGAGAGAGAGAGAGAGAGAGAGAGAGAGAGAGAGAGAGAGAGAGAGAGAGAGAGATGGCCACGCAAAGAACGACATTATCACACAGAGAAAAAAGATATTGCATTGTTGTCATACAAAAGGGACAAAAACACAACAAAGCACATAAAGACAGACTGCAGACATACTCGACACACTCGTCGGTTTTCCAGGTTGCATATGAGCCTCTAATTACGGCCAGATTCTGTCTTAAAAACGTTAGTGCGAGTGGACGAGCCTCTAATTACGGCCAGATTCATTCTATCTTAAAAATATTAGTGCGCGTATCCTCTCCAACTTGCTTGCACACCGACAAACACCTTAAAATGTCATTTCCATCAATTACGAAGGTTGATTCATTCTATCTTAAAAATATTAGTGCGAGTATCCTCTCCCTCTGGCACTCCCTTTTTTTTTCTTCTTTTTTTTTTCTTTTTTGTTGAAAAGGTTGATTTCATTCCGAAGGCAAATACGAGGCCGGGGACCTCACTCCTTTTTATTATTATTATTTTTTTTCTCCTTTTTTTTTTTGTTTTCCCCTTTTTTTCCCTTTCTGTTAGCTCTCGTCCTACATCACCACCTGCCCCTCAGCAGAGGTTCCTGACCTAAACCCTAAAACCTCCAATCACTCTCTCTCCCTCTCTCCATCAATGATCATCATCATCCACTCCACAATGGAAATGGCAGTTAGTACTTTCACCCCAAAAGCCTTTCCGGCTATTTCTATTTTTAACAACCCCCAAAAGCCTCTTTTCGGTGACCTTTCATTGGACACCATTCTCGGCCTTTTGGCTGAGGACAAATGTGGGGATCAGCTTAATATCTTTAAATTAAAAGAATAGATAGAAATACAAAAGATGGGAACGGCACTAAGGAGATTACCACAAGCCGATCTTTAAATTAAAAGAATAGAAAATAGTAAATACAAAAGATTGGAACGACACCAAGGAGATTACCATGGCGACTGCGCAATAAACCGATGAAAAAACTCGACAAATAATCCTAATTTAGCCAGAAAGGCCCAGAAAGTTAAAAAAAAAGAAAAGAAAAAAAAAAGTTAAATAACCTTAAATACATCATACTAAACATTTCACCGTTGCACTAATCATGGAATGGTCTGATGCAGGCAAATCAGCAGAATGACAGAATGCCCTACTCCATTCACGAAGGCCATTTCTCAGAAGGGAGGACTGTATGTGTGTGTGGGAAGAGAGAGAGAGAGAGAGAGAGAGAGAGAGAGAGAGAGAGAGAGAGAGAGAGAGAGAGAGAGAGAGA